TTTTAGCATTCTGATCGGTTTACATCGTTCTCCCCAATCGTGGGAACGTTTACCAACTCGGATTATAATGGGACATGCTGTTAAAAAAGTGTCGCTACTTTAACCCTTTGGCTTAATGTGTTAGAGATGTAAAAAGGGGGTGAACAGAGTGCAGAAATAGCTATTTTCTCATAAACTGAAGCATTTCGGGTGTGACTTAATTGTCCTAGTGGATGCACTTAGGGTGAAGTTAACGAAGAATTGAAAATGTCTGTTGTGGTCACCCGTATCGAGCATAAGAGATATGTGTATATGAGCAGCTGCCCACAACTATTGCGGCATGGGCGTTTCGCATGCATAAAACATGGATGATGAAGTTAGATGCGCCGTTATTGCTGTTAATCAATGTAGGGAATAATCTGAAAAAGCTCAACTGCATTCTCATCACACCTTTAGCCCGATTATTATTCTGAAAGTGTTCATTTGGAAGCCAACTTTATGCAGTAGCTGGCCAAACATTATAGGAACGTAGTCGAACAATTTTCGCCTGGATAGTTTTTTATTGAAGCAGCGATCATTCTACACTATGTATAAATTATCGATTGGAGCAGGAAGTTGAGCTATTACGTGCTGGCAGAGAACTGGCTACACCACTTTTTAGCCATTCATGTCGACAACTTCCTGAATTTCTACCAATTACCCAGCTTGGTTTCTTTCTTTGTTGGGTTTCTTAAATATACTATTGACGTCGTGACGTCTCTGGACTGTTGCCTTCGGTTCTTCGATGATCCGTATCAAAAGTTGTTAAAATTTGGAGCCACTTCTCGAATCTCGTTGCTGTCACGCCTCTGATTCACGAAATCTTTGTTAAACTTCGACTAGAAGTCGTCACCTTTCAGATCTAATTAAAGATTTTCGTAGAAAGTTGGAATTCAGGATAGTTTTACAAAGGGTAGAGTTGATCTTAAATGGTTCTAATGTTTTATGAAATAAATTCCAGTTCATAGACGATGGAAAAAAAAGGAAAGAAATGCACAACTCGTCTCGGATTTTATCACATAACAATCAGTTAAAACGTTAGAGAACCCTTAAAATTCATTTCACGAATAAAAATTAGCTAGAATAAATGCTTTTGCACCACGAAACGAAGTACTACTCAAAGAAATAACGGTGAGTTAGAGGCACAAAAATGTCCTCTCCTTAATCGAATGATTAACTGATAATAGTAATTGTCCCACATAACAGTTACTCAGAGCAGATGCAAAATGTTAAAACTACACATTATAAAAAAAAACTATAATTATTTTTCACATTTTTTTAAATATCGAATATTATTTGAATCAGAAAGGCATTTATGATGTTTGTATCTTAATCATGGCAAGTGTTTACCATTTGTAACTAGTGTTTTCGTGATGGAATCAAAGAAATCATTCAGTGGCAAATTTCTATCGAGTTATAATAAGCAGGATGATTATCCTGTGGAAGCTCCCTTCAGAGGCCCCTTTTCTCTGTCTTGAGGCAATGAAGGAAGCTTCTACCCTATCCTCACCGATTAAAATGGAGAAAAATCACAAAGATGTCGACTCGATATTAGGTTGTATTTTTAACGAATTTGACACTTTAAATTTGATTTTTTTGGAAGTATTTTAGTTAAATATTTTAGAAAAATATCAGAAAAAGTCGATGTAATTTTGTATCTGTTCGTTGTTTCTCTTAATGATCGTCGCTTACAAGAAGATTCGATTATAGTTGAAACGTATGAAATCTTTCGTTAACCATGAAATTAAAATTTGATTTGGTAAGTAATTTTACTGTCGATGTCAAACGTATAGAAAAAGCAATTTTTACTCTTAATTTCTCGATTAACGAAGGCCAATTCGCTTCGACGAATTTGTAAAATTGTCAAAAATTTTCATTAAATCATTCAGAAGTTGAAGGAGTTTCGAAGACCGAAACGCAGTTCCTATTCGTTTTAAACGAGCCATTCTTAATAGTAATTGTCTAACGTGAGGACACTTTCGGATGTCAAAGGTCAATGTGGTTAGGCCTCTTTTAGAAGTCACGATCAAGACGAGAAATAATTAGATTAATTGGAAAACACGATCCGCTTCTTCATTTTGCAGTTTTAAGTATCGGGTTTTAAGAATCTCACTAATGTAGGGAGTGCCGTTTGTAGTTTTGAATATATTTTCTTGGAAGAAAAAAATTATTTTTAAATGGTAAATATAAGTTTAAAGGTATAAAAATTATTTTAATAGTAGATGTTCAGCAAATAAGTTGTAGTTGGGATTGCGGTTTGCGCTTTCTCTTATTGTGTTGATATTGGAGGATTTAAATACGTTGATATATGAACTAATTGTTCCATTTTTTCAAAATATAAGCGATTAAATATGAACTAGGCCATCTAAAAGTATGATTTCTTCGTATTCATTTCCATTTTGAAAGGTCCTCAAGTTCGTTCGTGAAGTTTCACTAGGCCTGGTATCATTTTTCGTTGTTAAACAAGAAAACGAAGCGATTATTCTTGAATTTTTTTGATGTAAGAATGCTAATTTATGCTAAGTTAATGACAAAAGAATTAAAAACGATCTTGCTAGGATTTACGAGTAAATTCGCTTTGATTACGTAAAGTTTACAACCGGCTAAACATCGGGAACCACACTAACTCCCGAGCCGAGTTTCATACATAAAATTCGAAGCATAGAAAAATTTGAATAGAATTTTGGGTTTCACGAATAAATAACGGAAAAGAAGAAAAATAATAAGTTAAATATTCGTAGGGATCTTGATTATTTTCGTATTAAAAATTGTCTTGGTGGTGTTGCATATAATAATGATAACTACTGCATCTCGGACGAGTTTAATTGCTCAAACGGAAGCGGAATGGAAAGAAAATTATGGATTGCAGTTCTTTTCCAATCATCATTTATATCAATTTCGAAAAATAAAACTTTTGCCAATGTATGTGTGTGTGCTTCCGAGTAAAAGTTTGTCTTGTTCTTACTTAGTTTATTATCCGTAATGAGGCATGTGTTGTGATTTTGAGGACAGGTAAAGAGTGCGATTTGGTTTCTGATCTCAACTGCAACATTTGATCGATAGGCTATCTCTTTGCCCGGATCTGAAATGTTTTGTTGATGTGCTCCGCGTTATTTTCCTTTCAAAATGCTCCATCACATCCTTTTTTTCCGATTGCTATCTTTAATTCTTTCTCTGCACAAGTGCGAATCTGATCAATTCCGTTTTAACCTTATAAAAATACATGCGATGATCTTTCTAATCTACATTTTAATCCGTGTTTTACCATTTTTTAAAGTGTTTTCGAAAGGTCGAGATTGAAAATCATAATGAGTAAATCCGTTGTCGAAGTCAAAAAATAGATCTTTATTCTGGAACATTTGAATCTTCTCTTTGAAATGGATCATATTCTTGTTCCGTGTCGTTGAATCGGTCTATTTTGTGGCTCACTCGATGAGAAGATTGATGATTTTCAACTGGCTATACAGGCGCTCTTCTTAGGCCAATTTTAAGCTAGAATAGGCATTGACAAACTAGCAGTGGTTCCCAAATATTTGATTCTTTGTTTAGCCGTTGTTACCATTACCATTCTTCAACCGCAGTCTTTCTTTTTGACTTTTCCCGTTGTAAAGTACAGTACAATGCTTAAAACTTCTCAGCTACTTCGTACAAGTTCCACTTTTTCGATTTAAAACAGTCTAAAGATGTATTCCCCATTGGGCCCGTACGAAATTTTAACTTTTTTTTATTTATTATAAGAATTTAAAATGTATACCAGATTCGATGATTAAGTAGGTGTTTGCTTGAAACGAAAACGCGGGATGGAAACGAGTAAATAAGAAGTGAATGCCGCTTCTTCCCATCCGTTAACTCCAGATGTAAATCGAGAATAAACACTTTTTTAACGGATAATTAAGATATTTTTCCATTGTAGGTCATGTTAAAGTTGGGAAAGTTACCAAAAATTCATATTTTGTACGTTTTATTTAATTGTTTTTCTTGAAAACGAGCCGATTTTGTACTTTTCGAACTAAATTTTCTGTAGATATAATCATTTTTTTATGAAGAAAAAAAGCCTCGTATAATTTACTTACAATAAAAATAATTTGTTCCGTAAGAAAAGTTTTATAACGATAACGAATAAATTTACTATAACAAGATACTATAAAACGTTTAAAATTGTTTTCGCCATTCTTGAAAATAATCGATTAAACTTATTACGGAACTGAGTTGTATCCTCTTTAAAGCTATGAAGAAGAAATATCCTCAAATTAACTTGTAAGGAAAAAGTAGTTTGCTGCCATCATCGGTGGCTCCAAAATAGTTTACATACTGGAAAAAAAAGAAGAATACTTTGCACATACTTACATAAATGACGAATGAAACGATATTTGAAACAGGAAAGGTCGAGTCCCAAGGCAAGAATAAAGATGTAGACCCTGTGGACATAATGCCCACTCCAATTAAAATGCTCACTTGTTTACGGGGCATGTTTATCGTAAACAAACTTTTAATGACCCTTTTTTACGAGCGTACTAATCAGGGAACAATTCCTCAATAATCATATACTACTATAGTAATAAAAGAAACCGGGAAGTGAAAGAATGTGCGCGAGAATTGGAGATAAAATCCGAAGTTTATTTCCATCGGAGTCGATATATTAAACCAGATTTAGTGCAGATTTTCGCGATGCTACCCAAGTAACGAAGTCTCTTGCGGCGCCATCTGGTGCCCGTTTAAGCAACTAAAGAGGGTGATTTTTACGAGTTTTGCCTTTTTAGCGATGACATATGCAAAATTCGTAACAGAATTTAATTTCTGCCTTTAATTTAAACTTTTTTTCGAATTAAATACCTGAAAAAAAAATGAACACTACTTATTTCTCTCGCCGCAAAAACGCGAGGTGCCACGACTATAATTATAACAATTTAAAATTTTTATTTGAATTTTTCCATTTTAAATTCTCTAATTAATCGTTTTATTGATTTTTTTTATATTTTCAGACTAAGATGAATACTTCAGATCAACATAATTCATCTCCCTTGCAGAAAGGTGAGTACCAGAACCAATGGATATCTCGTACAGACAAGAAGTGTTTAGGTACGTTTAATTTATCTTTGACCATACGAAAAAAAATATTTTTAGGATTTCTCATTAGCCAAATTCTGTATATTTACAAGAAATTGGGCCCTATCATGCTCATGGCAACCCATAGTTTGCGTCTGCCCTTCCGACTGATTACTCATCAACTTTAATTCGGTCGTATTGAATTACAACAGAGCGCAAGGAAACATGAATTGCGAGAAAACTTCAAAAGTTTTTAAGCTTTTCATCATGATTTAAAATAAATTTTAAGTCGTTTTATATAATTTAGTAATTTTGCAAACTCCATTTTACATTTTTAACACATTTTTATCCTTTGAAATTAGACTTTTTTTCTTTCTTTTTTTTTTTAAACTTGGCTTCCATTTTTTTAAATGGCTTCCAATCGGGTACTATTAAACCCAGTTTTTAAATTCAAAAAAGTTGGAGAGATTGGGAAAGTACGTTTTATCAATAAACTTACCATTATTAATTTATTTTTTATATAAAAAAATAATTTAAATGACCGCAGACACTTTGAATTTATTTATTGTATAATTGGAGCACGGGTCTAAAAAAAAAAAAACATTTTTTTTTGTGAGGTATCAAAATTTTAAAAATGTCTTCGGTTTTTACATTATGTGAAAGGTCTTTTTGCTTATACGAAAAGAATTACTTAGAAATTAATTGTTGTTAGTAGGGTCCATTCTGGTGCTTTTTACAATAACAAAGGGATTCAAAAATTGATCCTCGAGGGACGTAACAGACATTCCTATATTTTGTGCTTTAATAAATGTATTGCTCGTCGTTGTTGATTTTTGTGTCGAATTTCCTTGGGAATTTTTAGACAACATTGAAAACACTAGTCCATAGTTTTGTTTATCCTTGGGCATTTTGCCATTTCTTCCCTAGGCTGACTCGTACTCTCTTCCTTGTCGTACACTTTGTTTTTATATATATGTGTATGTATGTATATATATATATATACACTTAGTTCTTTAAATATAATAAGTTACACATATATTTATTTATACAAGACAGATTATATGGCACACTAGCAATGTGTTAGTATCACAAGAATAAATATGCAAATTAAAAAAAAAAAGATTAATTTGTGTAGGTTAAAATGTGTAAGGTGTTAGTGGAGCCGGACAGGCATCAGCGATCAAAATTTGTGCGTAATTTTAGCAAAAAAGCTGCAAGAAAAACAGATAAAAATGGGCATTATAATCTGTCTGGTTGTGATTAGACTCGCATTCCCATCAAGAGGGGTGAGGCAGATTTTGCCGGGTGAAGTACAAGTACGGAATGGCACATTACGAGGCAAGTACTGAAAGGGTTGAGATCGATAATGACTAAAGCTTGTGTTGAGATTTTACGCGCGGTCTGCAGCGACTAAGGAAACGCCGTGTAGTCGACCGAATGCAATGCAGAATTAATTTTTTTTTTTAATTTTATTTTTGAAGTCGGGACAGTTACTTGCGCGTATCGGATAATAAAAAGTATACGCATTTACGCAGGCCCGATGTATTTTTTGTGGCATAAAATGCGCCGGCTTTAAGAAATCGTAGAAGGGAGAAAGTTTGCTGACAGTCGTGATTGATGGGTATCCCATAAGATTGATTACTTAAGTAAGAACGGTAATAAGCGAATGGGGACTGGACTCGTGCAGTATTAAAGGTTGAGGACGACGTCCTTTTCCATAATCTCCGGTTCCTGAAGACCCCGAAATTTAGAAGGAAAAAAAAAACGTAATTAATGAGGTATTTACCGTTGTTAAGTAGAGGATTATTTATCGGCGCAGGTAGCGCAACGGTTCCTTTTTAAAACGAAAAAGGTGGCGATAAACAAGTGCATCAGACACAACAACGTAACGAGAGAACTCTTGGCAAACACGTGACGTCGACCCATCCCAAGGTCGGAGCGCCGCTCGATTTTCAAAAGGCCGGCCATCCCAGATTCCTTTTGGTTTTTAATCTGTCCGGCCGCATCCCCGGTTGTCCACTACGAGATCGGGTCGATGCCGAGCATTTTCCTGTCGACCATAGTTGCCGCCGGTCACGTGACGCGTCGAGCAGGATAACGTTATCGTTCTCCATAAATTTCAATGGGAGATAAAAACTGGGGAGCGTTAGCTATGCGGTGCTAGCTGCTAGCTGCTGGCGTTGGCTGGCTGGCAAGCAGTGCCACACAGTGGAGAACGGCTGGCGTACGAGCCGCCATGATGGAAAAGACACTGACGCCAAGTAAGTAAGCTAGGCTTAAAAAACCGACGGCCTTTGCCTTAACGGATGGGATGGACGCTCGGATTTCGGGTCGATGACTTTCGGGGTCGGGTGGACTGCACGTTTGGCGGGTGTGGCGGTAAAGTACACGTAGGGGAACGACGCTTACCCATCCATTTGTTCGAAAGGGTAGCGTTGGCCGCTGCTCTCAACCCTTTGAACACTGGTTCGGAGCGCGTGTGCGTCGTCGTGCCGTTGTTTATTATCGTGGCTCCTTAGTCGCATGCCTAATAAAGCCCCTCGATCGTATGCCACCCGTTCGGACCGGCGCAAATTTTTTTTAAACGATTCCTAATGTCACGATGATGGGTCCGTTAATTATTTGCATGCGGTGCGAAGGGGATTTTCGACGGACGGACCGAACCGGTCGAGACTGTGTCGGCCAGTCGTCCTTAAACCGTCTTTAGCACGTTCGCTAGTTCGGATAGCCTTGGAAGGACTCTGTCTAGACGAGACGGCCATTACAGGTATACGCACACCAGTGCACACGTACAGTCAACCAGTCTCGCACTCGCGTTTACCCCACGCACGCACACCTTCGCTCCACTGTCTGGCTCGTAGACGTAGAACACGTGACACGCTAACAGTTGGTATTATAACCGGTACATACAATTTTACCGTGCGGCATACGGTGGTCAGAATGGACTGAATAGCAACTTTAACCCAATCTCTCGCAGCTTAGACGCCATGACACTACTTCGCGATGCTAGAATCACCAGAGACGGTACTTGTTGGGAAGCTATGGAACGCCAAGGCATAGGCTGTGTGGCCCCGGTCATCTCCCTTCAGAAACTGAAGAACTTTCTAGTACAGCCCAAGTTCAGATCCTTAACTCAACATGGTAAGTTCACCGTCCACTGGTTTATCTCTGTGTGTATGTGTGTGTATGTCTGTAACGTAGCATACGCGTCGTCGCTTAACCCTTTGCCAACTAAAGATGGCAGCCGGTAGACGGATCGGTTTACCTACGCTCTTTTGCCAACCAGCAGTTTTTTTATCGTCCTCAACGTTTTTTCCCGTTACGGTCCCAGAGACACCGACCGAGTTACGAGGACGGAAGGTCGCCGTCCACCATTTTGAACAGAGGAAAATAAAATAAACAAAAACACGTATACGTCGGATCCGACCACGTGATCCGGCCGTTAGCTACGGTGACCTCATCGACACAAACAACCCGTATACGTCGGCACGAGCGACCACTCACTCCCATTACGTTTACGTTAAGTGGCGAGGCATGGGGCCACCGAAACGGGCCCCGAAAGTGGGCAGAGTTCGATGGCAGCGAATATGAGCTCACCCCTAACGATTTACGCGCCCGACCATCTGTTTTGTCTAACAGATCCAGTCGGATTTGGGCAAACGTCTGAACCGAAAAGCTTCGTGTTTACAGTCAACACGATAAATTTACAACCCGTCCCATTCGTAATTGAACTTTTTTAATTCCGTGTTTTTCGGCTCCATAATCATATTTAATGCTTTTTGGACGGAGGATCTTTCTACATTTTAAGCAGCTTACGTCCGTCTGGCATTTCAGCACAGTTGTGGACGTAAGAAATCCGACTAATCTTCTAACTCGCTTTGACTTTTGCTATACTAATCTCACGAAAAGGAGATTACCCGAGACTCTAAGCTAATTAGTATCTGCTGTGCGATATTCCCGAATAAGATCGATGCGCAGCTCTGATCCACTCTCCATCAATTAGGCGCATTTTACACGATTCATAACTTCCGTTTTTTTGCCTCTAATCTTTAATTTAAAATTACAAAATCAGCGAAGTAATTGTGAATTTTCCCAATAAAAACCTAATCCAGATTGTCTTCCCCCCTCCTCCGACTTTTTTTCCGATTCATTGTTGCCAGAAAGTTGATACTTTTTTTTGGCTCCGTCTGCTTTTTACTGCCGACAAATATTTCCTCTTCTGTCTGGAATAACAATGCGACCCAATTGTGTCCTCGATTCTAACCGGAGAAAACCGGTAGATTTATTATTATTTTTTATTATTATTTAAAAAAAACACACGTTTCTTTTAATAACTCTTCCACCTTTCCTGGAAAAGGGCCTTTCTGTGCCGTGACATAATGTTCTTTGCTGGGGTATTTCGGCCTTATGGGAGCAGCTGCCATCTATGTAGACCATCTGGACCGATTCGAAAATAGATTTAGGCCTGAAAAATAACAGTAAACCTGTTTAATTTTGAAATTATTATTATTATTTTTTGTATTAGGGCCTGTCGCACGTTACACGCGTACCACTCAAGAAAGTGAGTAGATAACATCGCAGTTAATGGGCCTAACCATCGTATATTGTACTCTTCTTTTAATTGTTTTTTCGTTACGGATGAATGAATTGCGTGAAAAGCAATACGTGAATCTAAAACTCGTGTGGTGTTTTTAGATACAGCTTCTAAAAAATATAAATTTCCAATCGTGAATGTCCCCATTCGATTATTATAAATAAACACTTGGGATGCTCGAGTAAAAATAGCCATTCGGAAAGTTTGTTATTTAAATAAACTGAAATTTTTACACGTTTCTAGCTCTACTTAAGGATCTTTGTTTTCTGATGTCACGATCCTTTAAAGGATCGTTCCTTGCAACCGACAGATGCAAGAATCTTAAAGGACTTTGTTACGTTCATCGCGACAATAGGGTCGAAGAACCGAGAACGGCTCGTTAAAAAATGCAAGGAAAAAAATAAATAAAAAAAATAAATAAAATATAAAACATTAAATGAGACGAATGTTGCAATGATGTACAAAACTTCATAAATTATGCATAAAATATTTAGCAACGAAATATTAATTTTTAATAATCATAATAACAATACAAATAGGCCATTTATAAATGCAAAATGTGTGTCTCGTTTAAATGAATTTTTATTGTCTTAACTTTTTTAAAAAATATTTTTTAAATTCCTGTTTGTGAAACGAAACTTTTTCGGTACATTTTGTTTGTTTTTGGGTACGAAAAAGTCAAAAATATCCGTACTTCTCTCACAACTCTTTCACTTCTAACAAAACTTGGCTTGTGTTTTTTTTTTTTTTTTTTAATTTTTCTTTTGATTTTGCTTTTCCATAAAAGCATTTTCATCGCAAAGCCAAAGTCGGTAGTGGGAAGTGTTAACCTCATTAGTGCAATTGCGGCTCTTTTTCTCTTTCTTCCCTCTTTTCCGTTCGCAGAATTTAAACTATTCTAATATAAACTTATAGAAATGAATGGAAAAAGCACTCCGGAGAAATTAAATTAATTCCGACCATATCAAGTTGCACCGGCATTTTTCATGGAGTTGCAAAGGTGTTTACTGCCTGATGTTCATTATTCATGTCATGATTGTCAGAGGAAGATCTCTCTAAAAGCGCTCGTTCCATTAATCAGAATATCTCCGATGTCATATCTGTAAGCGGTTGAATGACAAATTGTCATTTTCGGATATGTTGTTACAGTTTTTGATCTTCAATTGATTTTTTTTTCTTCTTCTCTCTCTCTTTCTTTACGTTTTTCCCACTTCTAACGCGTCTTATTTACTCTACACAACAAGCATTCGATTATCTAACACACAACTCCCGTTTCTACCACTCTTCAATTTTCTGCACCTCGGCAATTAAATATTGTTTTTATTTATTGGAAGCGAAGAATGTGTTCTTCTCCTTTGATTTGTCGCATTCCTTTCTCCGAACAGGAATTTCCTAATTCTTTCGCTGCGCTCGTTGCCCGTTAACTGATTTCGTTTTAAAGAATTTACCTATTTTACAGCTTCTCTTGACACTTTACTTCGACCGCATCGCGCTTTTCCGTGTGATAAAAGAGTGTGGATCTTTTACAGAAGCGTTTGATCTCGCCTTCTGTTTTGCTCCTATTAAAAATTTAAAAAAAAGTGCCGTCCTGATCCCGATTTTGGCCAGTTCTAAGTCGCTTTTCTTAGAATAACATAGGTTTTCTTTGATCTTAATTGCTGAGATAGTAACGGAAATTTGGATCCTAAACACTCCCAAATTTCTTAATTATACTTCCTCCAACAGGACACTTTGTTTTTTTCTCGGAATTGTTACGTGATATAGAACTTCGAACTCTAAACAGATGCTCGTATTTCTAAGCATTTCCTTATATTGATATACGAAGAGATTTGACTTCGAAACGATGACAAATTTGCAATTCCACTTCTTTCTCTTAAACTTTTTATTGTCTTCTTCCAAAAATTGATGAATAATGTAGAAGTTTGGATCCAAAACACTCACATCCTTGCATCTTTTGTTCTGTGATTCCAAAATTGGAACATGATGCAGGAATTTGGCTCCGACACATTCCTAAACTTATAATTCCTCTTCTATTACCTTTTCTATTTTCTTCCAAAGATTTGCGCTTAGGGCAGGAATTCGGATACAAAATATTGAAAATTTTAATTACTTTTTTTCCTATTGTCCAAAAATTTGCTTATATCTCAACGATCTGATTTTAAAACACACTCACATTCTTACACTTTTTCCCATTATTTTCCCTAACTGGAGGAGGATGCAAGAATTTTCTTCCAAAACACTCCGGAAACTTTTAAATGTCTTTCATCAAAAACTCGAAATTTGCGAAGTAATTGAGTCCAAAACACATTTATCGAACTCCTTGCAAAATTTCCACATGAATAAGCCACGAATTGTCTTTTCTCTTCCAAAATCTTCTTTACCGGATAATTCTAATTAGTTTTACTTTAAATAATTAAAATTATTCGAAGTAATCTTCGTTGTTTACACAACAGACCTATTTCTTCAGCCGAAATCAAATTAGTCGAAGAGAAAAATGAAAATTTCCTTTCTTCTAATTTGGCAATAATTACAAAATGATATCTTCCAAATTTTTTCTTCTCTTTTTTTTCCCTCTTTCTTCTCGTGACTAACGAGGAAAGTCAAAACGAATTCTGGAAATTCGAGACATTTTTTCCCCTCCAGGTTTTAAAGTAATTAAAGAAGTACAAGATTTCGTCGGTTAATAACGACGGATGGCGATAAAGTTTCTCGACAAATTCGGCAAATTAATAGGAACAGAATAACGGCCATCTTACTAATCTAATTACTTCTTCGTCAAATATTAACCCCCAAAATAATAATTAATTGCAATAGTACAACTACCTACCTTCGGTAACTGAATCTTTTCGGGTCCAAAAATTGCTTCCCCACGACGAACTGATACTTTTTGTTATTGTGACGTTATGCTCATGTTTGTTACGTAGACGTGAGGTTTATTTGCGTTGTGTGACGTGGAAATAAAGGTAGCTTTTTTAGTACTGTGACGTTGAAATGAGGCTCACTTTTGATGTTATGACGTAGAAGTTAGACTAATTTCCACTGTTTTGAAGCATAAATAAGGCTCACTTTTGATGCTGTGATATAGCAGGGGGATTCATTTTCATTATAATGAAGCATAAAACTCATTTTCACTTTATGATGAAGAAATAAGATTTATTTTGATATTATGATGTCGAAGTGGGACTCACTTTCATTGTTATCACTTAGAAATAACACTCACTTTTACTATTGTGACGTTGAAGTTAAGAGTAATTTTCGTGACATTTTTGTGACAAGAGAAACTCATTTTCATTGTTATGACATAGAAATGAAGTTCATTCTTAATATGATGACGTTGAAAAGTCATTCTCATTGTTTTAACGTAAAAATGAGTCATTTTTGTGGTGACGTACAAGCGAAATTCGTTTCCTTATCGTGATATAAAAGACTAATTTCCATTGTTACGATAGAAAAGTGTAAAACTAATTTTCATTGTTATAATATACAAATGTTAAGATTCGTTTTCATTACTGTGACGTAGAACTGTTAAGATTCATATTCATTGTGACTTAATAGCGTTATGTCTCGCGGCAGTTATATCTAAAAACTGTTTATTTTACGGATTCCTACATTGTTTTCTGTCTTATTTTTTCAAGTATTATAATTACATTGGAAGATTTTTTTAAATATTAATTTAATATTTGATAAAAATTTTCGACGCCTGTTCTTTGAGAGATATATTTTACATCCGACTCCGACTTGATATCAAATGAAGCCAATTCGTCTACATGTATATGTGAATGCACTTGATTATTTTTGTATTGATAACATTTTAACGAAGCCTCTGTGATTTGTTTCATTGCAGTTTGTAAGAGTTATGTTGAAAAGACTATAACAATTGTTAATGTTTTCTCTTTGTTTATCAGCTGGAGAAACTCAGAAATTGTGGAGAAAAAAAGATGATGGACATCTTTCTAGTGAATTGTGATGGGTGACGTCAAAAATCCCACTGCAAAGGGGGATTTCCGATGTTACTTGTCATAAACCAGTTCTGCAGTGGCGGATTAGCACGTCTGTGGGGCCCCTTAAGATGGGGCCTCCAATCAGAGCTTCTTTTGCTTACGGTCTAATCCTACACTGCCCCTTTGGACTGTTCACGTTCTCCTCTTCTTCCTCTCTTCGCCAGTAGCCGTTAGAGGGCATCTCGACGTATTTTACCGATCGGGTGGGAAAGTGTTGCCAGGAGACATTTCGTAAATTCTGTGGGCAGAGAACTATTCGATGCCCGAATGAATCTGCTGGTGGCGAAGAATTAAGAAATAAAAAAGAAAGAAAGAAAGAAAGAAAGAAACCGATTACTCGACTGGTTTGCTTCTTTAGTCTGAAATTTGCCTTTCATCAATTAATACTTTGTGACAAATGTCCATTTTTGTGGATAATTGGAAGTTTTAAGTACAGGGCATTAACCATTGTCCCCATTAGGGGTCGAGCCCGCTAATACCGTCCCGTTCACTTAGCAAATCCTTTCATTTTTATCCGAATATGAAGAAACGCCTTAATCAGGACGCTACAAATTTCGTAACATGTGCAGAAATTCCGTCATGCACAAATTGGAAATCTCTCATTTGGAAGAATTTGGCTAATGAGTAAGACCAGATGAATAATCTGCATAATTAATTTAATGATACGACATTAGGAGATTTTTGTGAGGGAAAAGTTTTCGAGCGAAAGGGATAAGAAAGAAATTATATTTGCAGAGAACACACACTGTTGTGGGTTGACAAACACGATATATAATTACAAGATATTTTATGCATGAAAGGCAAAAATTCTGTAATAACGTCAATTAAATCAAAATCGAATTTAAAAAACTCGCTACCATGATTGACTCTTTCTTTCCCTCTTTCCAGGTCCTGGGAGCAGCGGAGATGAAACCCGTTCCGGTGGCATGGATACCTCCCAGATGCATTCTATGTACGGGAACAGGACAGGGGGCAATAGCACCAGTCCACCCGTATCCACCTCCAATTCGGCTTTGCTGGTCGTGCCCCAGCCAATCAATGCGGCCAGCAAACCGCCCAGTTTAACTGCGACCAATTGCACCGGCCGAAAATACCAGTGTAAAATGTGCCCCCAGGTAAGTCCTCTTAATCATTTTCGTCTTCCTTCTTTTTTTTTAAATATTGTTCCGCGTTTGAGGTTTTCACATGAAATTTTACACAGCTTACTAGCGTTACGTTCATCTGTCTTGAATAATGGGTGTCGGAGTTATGGTTTCTGAGATACAGTTCTGATCCGCGTGGGTAATTCCGTATTAGGGCATGGTTAACCATTTTTCATCCATTCTTCACTCTCTTTAATAGCAAAATCGAGACCGGCTGCGTAACCTGTAGTGTATTGGTGGCTCGCGTGAACAGATCCAATCTAGTCCATCCTCCCATTGCCACGAAGGCGAGTCGGCCGCCAGCGTCTTTGTAAAAAGGTTTTTAAGACAGCTTTCGTCGCGCGATGACAAGCGATTTCGTAAGCAAAATCGATACCGCGATGGTGGATCGTATTTTGAATGGTATATGCGTTCTTTTCTATATAGGGGGAAAAAGGCGCGGCCCCACTTTTTAGAAACGGGCTGCTGGTTACTATTAAAACAAGGTTATTCTTTCAAGTGAGTAATCGTATTACACCAGAGGGGAAAGTAAGACAGCTGTAGACTCGGTGATGAATGGTGGGGCGCAGAACGGACACAAACCACACACACACCATGTGTCACTGGGTCTGCAATATACTGTTATGAGTCTGTGGGAAATAATTTTTAACCCCTTGGCCGTCGGGAAAATGGCAAAATGCAGCTGACTCGAGGTGACCAAAAACAAGATCGAGAACGGAAGGAAACACTTGTGATTGACTCTCCCAGTTAACATTCTTTCCTCCCCCCTTGGCAGATGTTTTCCAGGAGTTTGCCTTTTGTATCTAACTCGAAATAGCGTTAAATCGATTACGGAGGTTATGCATTTGTCATTATAGGAGGGATTTAAGAAAAAATGATGAAAAATCCATCTGTTCGTTTTATAAAATTGTTAAAGTTGGAGCAGATAAGGCGCCGTAGACTTAATTATATACAGTAATGAGTGTATTATCTTTCATTACCATCTATTGTTTCGATTGGTGGCCGGATAATTAAAGTCAATACAATAGTGATTGATGACGAGCAGTCGAGATATTTCGGCTTTTTCTTGAAGTTTCCGGGTCTTCTAAATCGTGCGCAGATAGGAAAGTATCGCCTTACTCTACGGGGACACTCGGAATTAATCCCTATCAATTTCCCTATTGCGAATTAGGAAGGTTTTTCTCAACAATGCAGAAGGTGACTCGAACCTTTAATGTGCCTTTATACTTCCGGTCGTCGAAGATTCCCGGCGGGCCTTTCTTAAATTTGATGGTGGTCCAACCGATGTCGATCTATTTTAATCGGCTTACGACGTGGGGAAAAAGAGGGAAATTCTTTCCCCTTCTTTAGGGTTTTTTCCGGCTTTGGTCGTTAATTGCGCACACCGATGGTAATTTCGGCTTGTCCAAATATGGAGAGAGAGCGAGAGAGAGAGAGAGAGAGAGAGAGATTGATAGAAACGAGTAAAAAAAAAAGAAGATAGCGACGCAAAAAATCTCCGATCGTTTCCGCTTTTAGCCGTACACAACTGCTTACGTCTTCTCGTTCTGGCTGGCGGTTGTCTTGGCAACGCCCTTGAATTGTTCAAGGATTTTTTTCCTCCCCCCCGCAGAGGAGGACCCACTTCTGATCGGCGGTTGTCATGACGACTGTTGGCCAGAACAAATTATTTATCTTGCGTCACCGCGTACCCGGATGATAGTGCATTCCCCTCTTGCCGGTCAATCGATATTTTGTACCGACGTACACGTACACCGGAGTAGTATACCTGTACGACTTTTCCAACATGGACGCCACCATTTGTTCGTGTTGCCATCTAGCGAGGGTAGTAGCAACCCATCGACCCTAATGCGAGTTTGCATATATAAGGAAGTAGTAAGGGTAGCATCCGTTCTCTGTTTGAGTGCATAAAAAATTATTGCTAAATAAAAAAGAAATTCTTGATGGTAGAGGTGGGAGTTTTATTAGAATCGAAAACGATCTGTGTTCCATTGCACAGAGATTTATCTCGGTGTTAATATGACACAGTAGAAGTGTCCAGCAGCTAGTGTGGCTAACGACGGATCGTCAGGCAGGATGTCTGGTTAGCGGTGCAGAACAGGCTGCCATAATGGCGTGCCTGTTACTTAAATAATTCCATCTTAATGTCGCCTGTTCGGGATGGCCGCCGACATCGTTCGTGTACTCAAATAATGCGATTTTGCGCAAGATCCCGTTTGTCATTTGCTGAAGTAGAAAGATCGAGCCCCCCGATAAGAAACGATATCTATGTTAAGTCGGATTGTGTTATAGATTTTAATTTTCTTCTTTTTTTATGATTTTTTATATGTGTATTGTTGTTTTGAAGTTATTTTTTAATTTTAATTTGTTGATTGAAGGATTGGTGGGATGTCGTGGGCTGTGGTGAATTTTACTGACTCTAGTCGTTTCTGACCAGAGTATAGCCACTACATCTTGCCAATCCTGCCGGCCACACCATGCCCGTGATGCAAGAATCCGGAGTGTTTAGCTGCATCTAAATAAGCCTTGGTTACCCTGGCTTGGCAAATTTTTTAATCGTTTCGGCACTTTGCAAATTTCGTTTTCTAAAATAAAAAGAAATTGTTGGCCTTAAATGGTGTGGTAGGCCATTTTCGAAAAGTTCAAAACAAAAATTATACCGCGTTACCTACAGAGAGGTCTTACTCACCTTTCCCTCTCCCTTTACAGATCTTTGGCTCCAAGGCAGACTTGCAGCTACACACTCAGATTCATATGCGTGAGGCCAAACCATACAAGTGTTCCCAATGCTCCAAGGCATTTGCCAATTCTTCGTATCTGTCGCAACACACACGTATTCATCTGGGCATCAAACCATACCGTTGTGAGATCTGCCAAAGAAGGTTCACCCAACTGTCTCACCTGCAACAACACATCCGGACACACACAGGTGATAAACCGTACAAATGTCGACATCCGGAATGCAACAAGGCTTTTTCTCAACTGTCCAACTTGCAGTCTCATTCCCGGTGCCACCAAACCGACAAGCCCTACAAATGTAACAGTTGCTACAAATGCTTTGCCGACGAAGCTAGTTTATTGGAACACATCCCGAAGCACAAAGAGTCCAAGCATCTCAAGACTCACATATGTCAGTTTTGTGGAAAATCTTACACCCAGGAAACGTACCTGGCTAAACATATGCAGAAACACGCCGACCGTTTGGAGAAGCGGGGTCTTCAACCTTCTCATCCCACGCTCCCACCAGTTTCGGCCACGCCCGTCAAAGCACCGACATCCGAAAATTATTGGGCTAAACCGTCTGCCAACAGCAACCTGGGTGTCAACGAGACTACGTCTGCTCCACATCCCCATCAACACGTTTCGGATGCTTGCTTGCATTCCAGCCTAAGCGAGCCCAGGCTTCACTTGACGTCACGTGATCTGGACCATCGTCAGTTGCTAGGAAACACGAACGGACGTGATCATAGCGATCTGAGTCATCTGGCTGGCAGTCAGATGGCCTACGATGGCTCCAATCTCAGTAGCCCCACCAGCAAGACGACGTCTGCCTTTACACCCATCCAAACGGGGATAATGTCCATATCTTCTGGATCCCAGCTTTCCATGGCTGGTTCGTCTCGTGCCTATTTCCCTTACGAACCAATCAACATCCCCAAGAACCCAACCCCGATGGTGTCCATGGAATCCAAACCATCTCACAGTAGTTTCCCCAATCAGTTAATATCTCTGCATCAGATCAGGAATTATGCCTCAATGCCCAGTGTTTCAGGAGGAGAACACCCCATAACAGTAAAGGACAAAAGTCAGCAGTAGATAAGGGTGATAGCCAGCTACAAAGAATGTTCTGTGTTAAAAAACTAAACTGTGGTATATACACCGAAGAGTGCAATAAATGTGATTAATGCTACCCGGTTTAGCGAGGTAGCATCGATGTAAGTTGCCTGATGGTATTATTTTTTTTCTTTTCAAAAAAGAAAAAAATAAATAAAAGACAATATGGCACTTGGCTCCTCGGAGCATCTTCGTATTGTGATTCGCAGATTTCAAACGGAAGCTCAAATAAAAGCCAAAGTTATAAACAAGACTGTCGAGAACTGATTGTTCGCACGATGGTGTAAAAAATCGGTCATCTGTCATGCCTAATATCGCTGTTTCATTTAAATGGCATAAAAATTAGTTGCATTTGCAACATTCTGTGATGTGAGAACCCCGGACATTGCTACGAGGGTTCCAGGAATTGAGCAATAGAGCATGACACTACCTGGTGCCTTCGTCTCGAAATATGTCAGCACAAACTTTGTTAATCGTTTCATCAATCGGCAGACATATCTAGTACGCATGAGGCATTCAGGCATTTCATCACTACAAATGATATAATCTCAAATTAGTTTTTCGGCCAGAAAAAAAAGTCATTTTTCTGTGGTGCTAAAGTACAACAGACACCATTAGTTTATAGTAGTTCAGATGTAGGTACAGGTAGTGAAGTTTTAGCCCTACACACTACCCTGATGACGTACAACGGGGCATTGCTCATTCTATCGGACCAGTACAACGTGTGAATTTAGATGTCTTAGCACACATTATACCAATAAATTGCTCACATAAATCCCTGGTTACAATTAGTTGTGACCAATACCAGCCAAAGTATCCGTATGTTTAGTGTTCACCACCCGGGTTTTTGTGAACGGATGATACTCTATACTGCCTTCCTAGGTTACATGTTCGCGTATTGTGTGTACGTTAGGTTTGTAAATTAGTTAATCCCTGTGCTCTACAGTGAGCGTGTTGTTGTCCACAGTCTTTGGGACTACACCGCTAGCCACTACCCTGCACCTTTTCGGCTTGATAGCAATTGCTCAAAATTAACCTCACCGATGCTTTTTTAGAATCTAAAAAGTGTAGAAACCGTACGAGAATGGAATACCTGGTCATTTCTGTCTCCCTTATATCTATAAATAATGAAAAATAAATAAATAAAAGTGAATATTTGTGTATTGTGATCCGAATCGAGAATTAACAGGGTATAATTAGCTGCTGTCCTAGAGTCCACGAGGCTTTTAAACAATTGGTTCTATTTTAACATTCCTGATTAGTTGGAGAACGTGTTTAGCTAGTTGGAGTGAAAAGAGATGGGAAAGCCTCAGGTTTCCATACAGTAGATGATGACATTCCGTACAAGAGCAGTAGAGACTGCGGCGCGGACAAAAATATCATAAACTGTGGACAACGACATGTCAAGCATGGAATGCAATAAACGGGATGTCCCCGAATGGTGTAGTTTTGTACATGTGTACACAGTGTCAAACACTGTCTAAAACAGCATTAAAAAAAAGGCGAGACATTGTGAGAACGAACGATGGCATAAAATGCCAGTGTATTGTTAGAATGTGTGTAACGTATGGTTTTAATTTGCACTGTATGTACATATAAAAATTACAAAAAAAAACAACTTTTCCATGTATATGCAAGGTAGAGGGCTTTCAGATATTTCTCTTGCCTGCTAGAGCAGCGTTTGTTTTTTCTCCTTGTGATAGGCCTGCCTGTTAGTGGTCTTTATTTGAGTAGACGAGTTAGGAACTGGTCTCCACTCAACCTTATTTAGATACTGCCTCATTCGGCCGAAATTTAGTGTACGAAAGACGAAAGAGAGAGCGAGAGAGAAGCTGACCATCTACACAGTAGGTGTCGACTCGTTTGGTAGAAGTGCCCATAAAGTTCTAATGGTTTCGGCATTTAGATGAGGATCGACCATTTCTTTCAAAAAACGCAAAAAATAAATAAAAAAATAATAATAAACGAAACGCGCACTGGCTTCGGACTTACATTCTCACACTGTAAGCTCCATTTTTAAATTGTGGTGTTTGATTTAATGATTCTGTTGAACAATTCTTCGCGCACCATCCATAAAAAAAAAACAAAATGTTGTCTATGTATAGGCTTTATGTTAGTATCATTTAAGAGAATATATAACGCGAAAAAAATCTCTGTCCTTTGTATTTTTCTGTTAATTGCCAGTGAACCCTGTTAGTAGTGATGATGATATTCTGAATTTTCCAAAATATTAAAATGAGTTGTCCATGCTATGACGTTTTTTCTTGTTTTCTCACAACACTACTCAACAAATTAAAAAAAAAAAGAAAAAGAAAAAGAAAATACGTGTTTTCTTTAATTTTTAAATAAATTATATATTTATATTTGAGAATTAAAATCAAAATCTTTTCTTATTTAAAATTAAAGGAAAAGAAATCAAATTTTCTAAAATTATTTTTATTTTCTGAGAAGAAAATCAAAAGTTTTTCTTGTTTTTTTGGAAAAACGAATTGAAAATATTCTCTATGTTTATTAGAAATATAAATCAAATTTTTGTAATTTTACATTAAATTTTAAAAATAAATTTAACCAAAATTTTCTTCAGTTTTGTGAAAAATAGAATCAAAATTTTTCCTACTTTTTTAAGAAATAAATTCGAATTTTTAGGAAAAGAAATTAAAAATGTTTCGTAAACGGAATTTGAAATTTTCCTTTAATTTTCTTACAAAACAAATCAAATATTTCTCTAATTTAAATAAAATTAGGAAAGATTTTGATGTTTTAAGCTTTTATACAATAAAATTTAATATATATTTTTTAAAAAGTAAAAAATGTGAATATAGAACATTTTTTATAAGAATATTTTGGTAATTATGCGCGTGTTAACTTATTAGCCAACCAAATGTTTTATTATCTAAGAGTATCATAAAACACTTTTCCTATTATCTTCCGGATCATTATCGTAAATTTGTCCTTCTTTAAACACAAAAGATACTTTTCTCGGTTATAAACGAGCAAAATTATCATAAGTCTAGTCGATAAATAATTATTTTCGCTTCTTGGATTTATTAAAAGTAACTAACCAAAATTTATTTTGGTAATTTTAGCCAATTTTTTTCAAAATGGCGTCGTTTTGAAGTATTTTTTTTAAACGTAGCATACACGAAAATCTCGGTTAAGTTGATTAATAATTGAACTACGTAAAAGCGGGTTTCCTCGTCGCCGATAATTGTACACTTTAGTACGTATGTACTGTACGACGAAACGTAACGTGTATACGCCGTTCTTTACGAACATAACGAGGAGGGGAAGCGGTTTATTAAAGCGGAATCTATCAAAAATTGCGGTAATGAAACGATTTAGAGTGAGTTTTTATCTCGTCCATCCAGTCGCATTTAGCTTAATAACTGTTCTCTGCGTTCGAGATACACAGGAATTACTCAAGGCTGTTAACGCTTGATACCATCTCAGGAAGGAACTGCATGTTCCGTTACATACACCTATCGAAGAATTTCCTCAACAATCAATTGCATTAATAAATCGTCGAGGTTAAATAAACGGTTGTGCTCTTCCTCTAAAAAAATCGCTATTTTTTGGAGGGGGTCTAAATTCGAATGGTAACCGTAGTAATAACAGCACTCTCTAAAGGGCAACGCCAACAGATTATGATGGTTTTATGGATCCTCTAATTAATAAAGATGCGCGTAGTGAACATAATCCGAATAGTTTATCACCATGCAGCTGTCGGTTGCAGTTTTTGCAACGAAAGAAGCGAGGTGTGTTGCAGAATGTGGAATGAGTAACCATAAAATTAAGACAGTAATTTTAAAGGAGGCTCTTGATGGTGGAGCATTAGAATGACAAAGTGTGATTGCGTTTTTGCCATGGCGCTCCAATTATTTTAAAGGATTAACAATGTCCAAAATCATCGTCTTATTATCGTGATTTAACTTCGATAATGCTACAAAAGATTTAATATCGTATTATATTTTAATAAGGGCATTTAAACCCTCTCTGTCCTTGCCATTTTATGTACACTTTTTTCGAATGTACTTTAAAAAAATGCTCGATTTTGATGATATTTTCGCTTTTCGAATTAATTTCCTCAACTAAAAATGCGTCGGTTGTCTCCCTAATTTTAATCGTGCCTCCGACGTGAGGAAAAGAATTCGTTCGAAGTTACAAAAATCTATACACCTTCATTTGCATAAATGTAAACACGCATTGCACGCTTGTCGTTTAATTTATCTAAATGAACATTGCGCAATTAAATCGGAAATATTCTTAGCTTTTCCTCATTTTTCCTCAGATTTAGGAAAAGTAGTGATTAAAAATCCATAATTCTTAGAAGGGTGGAAACGATAATAATTAGTTTCCGCCGTATTCCTATATAGAAAGTACACACGATTAGAGTTTCGTCGGGGGTGGAATTACGTCTGGTATCCGTTTAACCGGATGGAGGGATGGAAGTTAAACGTCATTTAGTCGAGGATCTTGTCGAAAATCGGTTATCAACGAAAGGTCGAGCCATTTATTAAGGTAAACGAGTATCCGGTGGCAAAGTAGTAGTAGAGAGAGGGGGAGGCCGGGAGAAAAAAAAACCGTTTGCGATCTGGTCGAGAATTCAATTTTCATGCGGATTGCTTTGTGGGAGGTTTCGGGACCGAGATTTATGGGCATTTAAGTAGTTCGGCAGCGAGGCAATTGGTGCGGACGAAAGAACTCGAGGATTGTTGTTGTTCTTGCAAGAGTGGCTTCGACGTAGAGGGATAGAAAGAAAGAAAAAAAAACGTCATTTCATAAGGTGGATTGTGCTCGGGGCAAGCGGTCTTGTTTACACATGGCATCTCTTCTAAACTCGGCGACAAATACCTGAAGAATTAAAAATCTCATCATCAACCCCGTCCGGGGGAGGGGGTCGAAAGAGCAGAAAGTTTCCTCTAATGTTGTTAGTTTAAGGTATACGAGTGAAAAAAGGTTTTGCCTCTGGCTCTGTATCTCGCACAATAAAGAATGGCTGCATAAAAAGTCATAGTTCCAGTTAGTCAAGTTAGAACAAAGTTGTGTTTGTTCATTAATAAAATTTCCAGATGTCTACGGTATTTGCAGCGGAAGTAATGTTTGACTTTAGCCCCCGACTTGTTAGTTGTCAATAGGAGGGACTGCGGTCGAAAATAAAATTTCCGTATAGAAAATTATCTTGTCCTTTTATGTTGATTTTTTCTCCGGGCAATCAAATGGTGTTGAGTTTCTAACGTTTAATCTAAACAGAAACGGGAGTCAATATTTGTGCGATGGATTCTCCGCGATTTTATCGGATTAGAGTGGTGCAGTCGCCATTGCCAAAAAAAGCGCGCGCGCCACAAAAAGCGCAATAATAAACAATGATCGGTGCGCGAGTGAAGCAACTTATAATTTTTATCGCGGCAAATATTGTGCTGATGGTCACCGAGGGATGGCCGCTCTGGCGTTTATCGCCTTCACTCTCGATTAAATTACAAGCGAGTGTACATTGTCCGCCGAGAATCGCAGGCAGGAAGTCAACATGGTCCGTCAGCACATTAATATGGAAATTTCATTGGTTGTGCTTTTCCCTGTTCTTCCTGCTGATTTGCATAGTTGGATTGCCCCCTCGGAGTTGTGCAGCAGCGATTGCCGTCACATCCACGTCCTGGGGGCCCTGCAGCTTCGATTCTTGTTAATGAAACTGGTAATTAAGACCGTGATCAATTATGCGGGTGGAAAGGGTTGACTTGTGACTTAGGCTTTCCCGGAGGACGAAGTGAGTGAGTGAGAGAGAGAGGGGACATTTTTAAAAGTTTCCAACAGAGCGGCGAGGAGGGGAGGGACGAGACGAGCGGGGGGACACTTTTACTTAATGCAGCTGCAGTCTCTGTAATCTGTTGACGCCCAGGAAAAATTTTTGCTTTCTGCCCTTTGGGGGAAATCTCTGGTGGTGTACGTGCTCTGGCTCTTCATGCAAATTGGCCAGTGCGCTAAGAACGTCTTCACGGAGGCTGTGGCAGTGCAGTCAGTGTGTGTGATACGCCTGCCAGCAGCCGTCCGGACCAGCTGTGAGATAATTACCACAATTAATCTTGGTTGTGCGATTCCTATATGGAAACGGAGACTTTGCAGTTGTCAGACGGTGCAGCTGGTACAGAAAACCTACCTAGTCACGTGGCAGATGTCCGTAGAGAGCTAGCTAATTGTCTGCTAGATTGTCATGTGGGATGACACTCCGTCTGATGTCCTCTGTTTTAACTATGGCTGGAGAACTAACGAGTCTCCCCCTCTTTTGACGCTTCCGTCCCTCCATACCCGAAAGTAGAAAAACCAATCTCTGTCTCGGCGATCATATTCTGTTAAATAAATGTCTCCCGCACGAACAGGTGACGGGGAAAGTGTTTTTGTTACCGCTAAAGGTCGTGACAGATGACACCCGAAGTTAAGATACGGATGCTTTGTATCCGAAGAGTTGGCTACTTACGACATTCGAATTTTTTCACTCATCCTATTTGTTTACGCTCCCCCCTCACGATTTCCATCTATTAGGAGTGTCCATCCATTAGGAACGATTCCATAAAAAGTGCAGCCCTTCTCCTAATCCCCTCCAATTGCAGAAAGGAGGCCTTCAATCATTCTACTCCATAATAAGGTTTTTATGACGCCAACTCCGCGTGGTACCAACACAGGTAAATGTCGCTTCTTCCACCCTCGTGAAGAGCCGAAATTCTTAAAAAACTTCGCAAGAATTTTTTAGAGTAACCATCGTTTTTGTGGCATATAAAAGAGACAATTGCTATAAAGTGGAGGAAGATGACACGGCGATTATCTGCGGGGGGTTCGTTCGTATTAATTGCATATTTTTCCATAGTTTGGGTGTGTAGAAACGTACAACGTACAGTATTAATCGTAAATAAAAGACAGTTTTCTACTTTAAAAACTCGAGCGCAGATGTACAGACAAAAAAGTGAGCTCTTGTACTTGTTCGGGTAGCGTATCTAATGTACTGGATGGTTCTAATGGACTTGGGATATGTTTAATGCGAAAATAAGTGCTGCAGAAGAAGAGGTCATGTAGGATACACCTACTACCTATATATAAAAAAAGATATAGAAATTTCTTTCGCTATGATATCTGAAATTTTTAATAAATGCGTTAGTCCGTTTTATGCTTTTATCGATGTTTTCTCATAAAGAAAAAAGGGGGGTATGATGATAAATTTTAAATATATGCACCCTCCTATATTAGTCTGTATTTTGTTTAGTCGGCTGTAAAAAAGTCTTATT